TCAAGTTGAAAGACTAACTTCAGATGCCGAATTTGAAGATTTTGATTTGGTTTTGACTTAACACTACTGAAATAACAAAATAAAGAAAGATAGCATGGGTGTAAGAATTATGGTGATATATAAACATAAATTCCAGCAGACAATGTTGTAGCAATAATACAACATGCAGTCGACCATAACTAGATCCACCATCTATTTTGATGATATTCTCTTCGACTTCAACCGTTGCACTAATGTTATAGCTTTCAACCCATATCTCTATGTGGTATCAGGATCGGTGATAGTGCCAAATGGTGTTCTCAAAATATATGGATAAACAAATCTTTTTATTAAAAATCACTCTTTCCAGCTAATTTCCATATCATCCAAGTTGATGTGTTCAAAGCAGCTCATCTCTGAGTCTATTACACTTTAACGCTTTAGAAAGTGACCAACCCGTCGAGAATTCATTAGTTTGAAAAACATAAACAACAAATCTCTTTGTTAACAACTTTCTCAAGTCTACTTCTTATATCATTCAAATTGGCGTGCATTCAGTGACTCATCTCCGAGTCCACGACACTTTAACACTTTCAAAGTAATCAATTCGTCAAAAGTGTCATTGGTTTTATAAAAACTTCAAATGAAATAGTGGACCTTTGTTATTGCAGAACAAAGTCCATTTTCTTTGGTTTAAAATCTCACCCTTTGTTTCATACCCAAACTAATAAAATTAGCTACTCATTTTGGAAAGTATATTGCAAGAAAAGTAAATACCGAAAGTAAAGACATGAGTTTAAATGATAGAAAGCAAATGACTGAAATTAAAGAGCGGAAATTAAAGTACAAGGAATGTAAAAAAAGTAAAGACAAGATTTAAAAAAATTACAAGAATTATATTAACGCAAGAAAATAAACTAAGAACATATACATGATTGGATCTTACCAAAATTGATGAACCCACCACCTCTATTTATACAAGGGCAGGGGCGGAACACAACCGTTGTAGTCCGGGGGGCCGAAATATAAGAGCATCTTCAATAGATTTTCCAAAATTGAGAAAATGAAGATTTTAGACATATTTTTGCTCCAACAGGCTCTTCAAAGTTCTCCAAAACGGAGAAAACATGAGAGTGTAAACAAAAAATGATTACAATGAGGGAGAATCATTTTTTTTAAATCATATTCACATCGATAAGAATCCTTGATATTAATGGGTTATAGGTCATTGACATATCACTTTTTGTCTTTATTTGACCCCAAGAATGGATTGAATCGAAACGACTTTCCTGCCAATGGGAGATTGGCTGGGGCGGGGAGCTCGAGCTCTGGTTTTAATAGAGTTTTAATTATCTATTTTGGAATTTTTTTGAAGAATATGTTGAAGATGCTACAATATTGTAAAGATATGTAAATCCAAATGATTCGTTTTTAGACTATTAAACTTTAGAAAAAGATTGATTAATGTAATATTAAAACTCGAAACATTCAAAGTATTAATAGGAAAATAATAATACCAACTTAAACATTATTTACGTATAATTAATATATTATATTATTACTCTAAAAACTTAAACATTCAAAGTATTAACTGAGAAATAGTAATACCGGTGTAATTTACTTTAAAAACTTATATTTACATATATTAATATATTATGTAAAAACTATTACATATAATTAAATTTTAATAATTTATATAAAGTGCATGGAAAAAAAATGCTTAGGAGGGGTTTTGGAACAGGAACCTCTAGGAGGATGGATGATGTAAATGATTACCAATTAAACTACTTATTATATATGTTTTTAAAAGCTTAATTATAGTATTAACAATTGAACTACTTACTATATATGTTTTTAAAAGCTTAATTATAGTATTAAAGTCTAAAAAGCGTGGAGGCCATGCCCCCAAAGGGCCCCATGACACCCCAAAGGTGTACCAATGACACCCCTAAGACCTATCCCCATCATTTTGTTTTTTTTTGTTTTTTTCTCTTTTTTGTTTTTTATTGTTTTTACCTTTTGTATTTTTCCTATTTAAATTATTAATTAATTTCTTTTTTAGTTTATTAATTAATTT